CTGAGCGCCCCTTTCCCACAGCCAGACCAGGCCCTCTGAGGCCGGGAAGGGCACCCAAACGGCAGGCCTCAGGACACAGAGGAGGACCATCCTCCATGCCCAGAGCTGGGCCTGGGGGGTGGGTCTGTGCCCAGAGCTGGGCCTGGGGGGTGGGTCTGTGCCCAGAGCTGGACTGGGGGGGTCTGTGCCCAGAGCTGGGCCTGGGGTGGGGGTGTGTCTGTGCCCAGAGCTGGGCCTGGGGGGGGGGTCTGTGCTCAGAGCTGGGTCTGGGGTGGGGGTGTGTCTGTGCCCAGAGCTGGGCCTGGGGGGGGGGTCTGTGCCCAGAGCGGGCAGTGCTCATGCTCAGATGTGGCCCTTCATGGGATGAGGCAGGTTGTTCTCTCCCTGGGTCTCTCCCCCAGGCTCAGGGTCTGGTGTCTGTGTGTGAACGTGCACCCACGTGTGTAAGCACGTCTGCCATGTGACGACAGGGATCTCTCTGGTCCCAAGCTCGCCTCTCTTTCGTTGCTGTCACCTCCCTCACCAGCATACAATGGGGGTGTGAGGGGCGCTGGAGGTCCCTGGGAGGGGCTGTGGTGGGTGTCTGAGTCTGAGTCTCGCCCTGTGTGTGTGTGTGTGTACGTGCAAATCCTCAGGGCTCTAGGGGTTGTGTTTGTGTGTAGGTTTCCAGAGGGTGTGAACGCGGCATCACTCGCCCCCACAACCCCACCTCCTCCCTTCCCTGGTCTTCCCCAGACTCCAGATCTGTCCAGCGGGTTTGGCCCGTGCTCTGCCAGACGGTGTGTCTGGCCGGGACTGTCCCCCTTGGACGCCAGCCCTCAAGTGCATCCCCCTGTGCGACGCTGGACGTGCGTGTGGCTCGGGGTGCCCGTGTGTGGGCATCAGTGGGACGCCCCTGTGTGCGCCCCGAGGCCCGAGACGGTGTCCGTGCGGCTGTGAAGCGTGTCCAGCCCGCAGCCTGAGTGTGTGTCCCAGTGCGAAGGGGCGTGTGTCCGGCCGCCGGCTCGCGTGTGGGGGAGGGCACGGCCTCAGCCCGGGGGGGGCCCCTTCCACTTCAGCTGTGTAAACAAAGCCCCTGCCTCCCTCTCCGAGGCCCCGCCCCCTCCCCAGAGCAGTGACTTTGATTGACTGTGTGGGTCCCAAGGTTGTGAAGTATATGAGCGGGTGTGGATTGAAGGGAGCAAAAGTGTGTGTGAGCGTGAGGGTGAGGCCCGAGCGTCCCCTGGCCAACACCAGCCCTCGGGAGCAGCTTGGGGGACCCCAGGCCACTTGAGCCTCGCTCCCTGCCTCCCTTTTATAGCCAGGGTTGGCGACAGTCCTGTAATTACCCCGAGCCAGACACCTGGGTGAAAGCCAGGAGCTTGGTGCTGACCCTCTGGGGGAGGGGCCAAGCCACAGGAAGCCAGACATCCCCAGGGCCCCATCCCAGGCCAGTCATGGGTTCGGCCTGAGGTTGTTCTTGCTACGCCCCCTGGCCTGACCCCCGCGCCTCTGTACTGTTCCTGGGCCCGCGCCACACTCCCCAGTCTGTCCAGGGGCTGAGCTACCCAGCCTGTGTGTCCCTACCCCTTCCCGCCGGTGTCCCTCATGCCTAGCTCAGGTCCTTCATCCCCCAGCCCAGCCCATGTCACCTGTCCCAGCCGATTACTGCAGCCCAGCTCAGCCCCTGACCCCAGGTTTGCCACCTGAGCAGAACAGGGAGGGTGAGGGAGACCATGTGAGGCTTTGGGGCTGAGTAGCGCTGGCCGGACAGGAAGGTCCACCCCCAAGGCCTTAGCACCTAAAATGGGAGTGAAGGAGAGAAGGCCAAAGGGGGTAGGAGAAGCCCTGGGATGCAAGGTGGGCCAGGACCTCGCCCCTTCTGCCCCAGGCCAGAGCACAAGGGTAGGGCTGAGCCCAGAGCATCCCTCGGTGAAGCTCCCTGTGCCCCCCGGGGGCCAGCACCCACCCTTGCAGGTCCCCAACGCAGGGGACGAGCCCAGCCCGAATGGTGAATGGTCCTGCTCCTCTCCCCTCTCCATGGCTGGGTTAGGGTGACCCAGTGCCCAGGAGCAGGGGGCGTGGCCGCTCAGAGCCTCACTCCCCAAACCCAAATCTGTGTCTGCTCGTGCGTCTTGCTGTGTCCTGAGGAGCCCCTGGGACAACTCTAAATTCGCTCATGTGTGTTGCTATGGCCCGTCTTGAGGTCTTGCTGAGGCAGCCAGAGGGACACAGACAAGAGCCAAGGAGCCCCTGTCAGGGTGGACGAGCTGCCTGCCTGGGGCCCACACGGCCTTGGGGCTGCAGCTTTGGGGTGGAGACAGCACAGCCTCTCCTGGGCAGACGGTAAGGGGTAAGGGCAGCCCGGGTGCCCAGGATGGCAGAGAGAGGAGGTGACTCAGCCTGCTTCCCTCCCCCCTCCCGCTGCGGTCCTGTTGTCTTTGCCGCACCCCCCCATACCCCTGAATGTCTCGCTCAGTCCAGATCCCACATTCTGTTCTGTGCTATCCTATCCTGCCCTGCCCTGTCTGATCCCTCAGCAGGTGTTGAGTCTGGACTGTGGGTCCCCTTCCATCCCACCTGCCCCCTCAGGCCCTGTCCCTGGTGTCACCTCACCATTGCCTTGGCCAGGACACCCTGGGCCGGGCCGACCTTGATGCCACTAAGCAGGGGCCCTGTGCCAGGCAGGCTCAGGGTCATCGGTGTCTATCCATCCACGTGTTGACCCCTCCCTCTCCCTTACAGGCTCTGGGAACTAGAAGCTTATCTGAGGGGAGTTCCGCACAGGACCCTCTGGCTGAAGCCCCAGCTACAGGGGAAATGGTCCTTTCTCTTTAGCCACTGCTTGGGGTGGTTTAAGAGGTTTCACGTATCAGCCTTGGATCCCTGGGAAGTTGTCAGTCTCTCCTGGGGCCTGGCAGCACGGTGGCGGGGTGGAGGGGACGGGAGCTCAGGACACCCGAGTCCCAGTGCCTCTCTGCCTTGTCACCTGTCCGCATAGGCTGAGTCACTCGCCCTTCTGAGCTTTAGTTTTCCTGTCCTGTCCTTACTTATTTAAGTAATCTCTACACCCAACGTGGGGCTCAAACTCACGATCCTGAGATCAAGAGTTGCACGCTCCTCTGACTGAGCCAGACAGGCGCCCCTAGTTTTCCTGCCCTTAAGATGTGGGGTTCAGACTGGTACACCCAATCCGGATTGGAGGTCCTTTGATGTCTTTCTCTGTGGACTCCACGTGACTTTGGAGGAGTCTGGGGGAGAGGGGGCGGAAGGCGGTGGTAGGGGTTCCAATGGGCAGAGCGTGGCGACAGTCAGACCCACTCCGAATGCCAGCCTTGCCAGGCCCTGTCCCGTGTGCCAGGCCTCTGTGACCCTAATCCAGGGACGTGGCCTTTTAGACCCTCAGCCTTCCCATCTGTGCTTTGGGGATAGTGAGGCTTCCAGGGGCACGGTACTCCCAGCGCACGGAAAACACTGGGTGCCGTGCTGGGCATATAGTAGGTGCTCAGTAAGTGGAAGCTGGCTTGCTTGCTCTAGTTCCTGCCCCCAGGGCTTGGCCCTCCATCTGGCTGGCTGGATTTTTTTTTTTTTTTTTTAAGATTTTATTTATTGGGCACTGGGGTGTCTCAGTTAGTTAAGCATCTGCCTTTGGTTCAGGTTATGATCCCAGGGTTCTGGGGTGGAGTCCAGCAGGGCTCTCTGCTCAGCGGGGAGCCTGCTTCTCCCGCTCCCTATGCTGCTCCCCCTGCTTGTGCGCTCGCTCGCTCTCTCTCTCTGTCAAACAAATAAATAAAATCTTTACCAAAAAAAGATTTTATTTACTTGTGGGGGGAGAACATGAGCCTGGGGGAGGGGCAGAAGGAGAGGAGAAGCAAGCTCTCCGCTGAGCAGGGAGCCCTCCTGGACTCCACCCCAGGACCCCATGACCATGACCCCAGCCGAAGGCAGACGTCTAACCGGCTGAGCCACCCGGCGCCGCTGGGTTGCTGGACTGTGAGCCTACCAAGCGCCCCCTCACAGCATGCCCTCCCCTGTCCCGTGTGGCCCTGGGATGTGAGGGGCCTGCAGCTTAGGCCCACTGCTGTGACCCCTTCCAGGCCTTTCCTGCTCTCCCCAGTTGGGTACCAACTGTGTGTGCCTCCCCCTCCCAGCAGCCTCTTCCCTGTGTCTCCAGGCATGAGGGTACGGTTCCCTCCATGTTCCCACAGCCCCCTGGCATTTAACTGTGGAACACTTGGTTACACTGTCCTACCCGTGTGTGGGTGTTACTGATTCCTTTTCACCTATCAACGCATGCTAACATGAGCTTATGTGAGGGCAGAGACTGTGTCTTGGCATCCCCAGTACCCAGGCCAGAGCCTGGCACTCAGCAGGTGCTCAGGAAGTGTTGATGGAATCCTCGAATGATTGCAATGGATGAGCCTATCTTTTCAGTCTTGTCTCTGGGTGAGGAGCCCCGGCTGCCCTGGCTCTTTCCCCACTGCCTCCCACCCCATGTCTCCCTGTCTGCCACGGTCCAGCGGAAATTCCATTTCCCCTATTTTATGAGTACAGAGCGGGAAGAAGACCCAGTCCCTGCCGCAGGGGAGGGGCTCATTCTCAGGATGCGGCTGGCAGGAGCCACAGGGGCGAGGAGGGGCCCTCAGCCAGGACCCAGTCTGCGCACACAGAGAACCGGGGTGGGATGGAGTCCCAAAGCTGCACAGCTTGGCAGTAAGGACCCCCTCCCTGGCAGGTTTTGGCTCCTGTCATCACCTCCCCTCCCCCACAGCACCACGGGTACAAGCCTGACCTCACCCAGCCTGGTGGGGCCATGTGGCCCTTCCCCCTCCTCTGTCTGGCACGTTCTGCCCCCTCTTCTCTCCCGACAGATGCAGGGTGCTGGAGTTATGTGGGACCCCAGCGCCAGTGCACTCAGCCCTTGGGCCATAATGGTTTAAATGAATAAAATCACAAAGGATTATAAAGGAAACCAATTATATGGAAACACAGTTATCAAAACATTTACATTTTTTGGTGTAGTAATATATATGCTTCTTTATTAACACATGAAAAACAAGAACGGTATAACAACTCCGGTCCTTTCAAAGTAGTGATGAGAACAAATGGTGTTTTGAGAGAGCTTCAAAAACTATAATGCAGCCTGAAAGCATCTGTGATTTCTGTTGGTTACAAAAACCCAGGCCCTCTGCAAACTATTTTGGCTTGTTGCCCAAGTACATAAGGGAATGTTTAATTTCAGTTACAGGTGAGTGAAAACAAAGATGTGATTTTTTTCCCTATCTAGGTTCACAACGCCCCTGCAACCCAGAGACCCCAATCAAGACCCCGACTGCAGAGTGGAACAGGAAGGAAGGAGAAACCGTCCTGCGCTGGATGCTTCCCCTACCATTCCATCCTTACCCGGCCCTGAGAGACAGGTAGCCCGACTCAAGCTTCTGAGGAGAAACGTGAGCCTCGCAGAGGGTGAATGATTTGCCCAAAGGCAGTCAGGCCCAGCTCCAAGGCCCTGTGGCTCTCACCACACAGAGCTGCCTCCTCAAGGGAGACTGAGCCACAGAAGGTGCTCAGTTGACCCTCTGGCCCGAGTCGGCCCCCTGCCTGTGACATGTGGGTTTTAACCAGCATCCAGAAGGATTATGGCCCCTGAAATCACACACACTTAGTTATTTTTATGTCCAGTTTATTTTTTTAGACTAAGAGCAGAGTATGAAAGTCACAGCCAAAGCACTTGAAAAAGGCCCGGGAGGATGGGTGGGGCCACAGAGGGTGGGCAGGGCAAGGTCATGGGATTTGGGTCCCAGCTCAGGGCTGGAGGGGAGGGGGCATTGTTGTCTCACGGTCTCCAAAAGTGTCTGTGCGTTGCATAGGTCTTGTCTTCACGGAAGACACAAGAGGGGCCAGGGGGTCCCCCAGTGGGGGGGCCTAGCCTGGTGGGGAAGGGGTCTGAAGCTGGAAGGGGACATCAAGGAAGGTCAGGGAGTTAAGGAGGGGGAGAAAGTCTGTCCGTCTGTACATTATATATAGAGATATAGAGTCTGTACATGCCTGCTGGCACCCCAGTGCCCATCCCTTGTCACCCTTGTCCACTGCCCGCCCCCCCAGGGGTGTCTACTTGTAAACTTGGATTCAATCCAAACCGCAATCCTGGGAGCGGGAGTGGGAGGAGGAGGACGTGCTTATTGCTGTAAACAGGGGAGGGGGGGCCGTGGGCCACCCCCTCGCCCATCTAGTCCCCTCTCTGTGTTCCGCCCCTAGAAGAGAATGAGGGGGATGCCTCCCATGCTTGGATCTGCTCTCTCTGGGGCATATTTGTCTCCGGTGGTGACAACAGGGGAGGGTACCGGGGTCAGAGAAAGGTACCAGAGCCACAGGCCACCCGGGACCCGTGGCTGTCCCTGTGTCTGGTCCACTACAGTGCCCCACGAGGGGAGAGAGGGGGCAAAGGGCATGGGCACAGATGTATGGTGCAGACCCCGCTTCCAGCCACCGGAGCAGGGGTCCAGGCCCCACAGCTAGGCTTCTCTCGGAGAGACCAAAGTCTCCCTGCCCTTTCCCAGCCCCATGTCTCCCCGCCAAGGGAGCGGGTAGAGCTAGGAGGCCAAGAGCGTCGCGAGGAAGAAGGCGATGCCCACTGCCAGGGGCAGGCGTTCCCGCTTGGGGCTGGTCCCGCTGATGCTCTTCTCAAGCTTGGGCACCTGGGGATTCTCTCTCTCAAAGTCCTCTGTGGGCAGACGAACAGACAGCCTGGTGAGGGCGGGGCTGCGCGCGCGGGCGGGGCACGCGGCAGCGACAGCAGCAGTGCAGCCGGGACGTGAGCACCCACGGGGGCGGGGCGGGGTGGGTGGGGAGGAGGGGTCCGTGCCCCCGTAAGGCATGCAAGGTGAGCAGGCACCGGGGAGGGGGCTGCGGTTCCAGCAGTGGCCACCAGAGGGCGCTGCGCAGACTCACCCAGCACGTTGATCTTCACATGGGGGCCCATGGTGAACGGGGGGAGGGTGGGGGCCGGCTTCTCCCCGGAGTGCGATGCTGCGGGCCGGGGTGCGGGTGGGAGAGAGGAGGGGAGAGTCAGGGCCAGGATCCCCCCACCGCTACAGCTGGGGAGCGAGTCCCCGCTCCGGGCCCCCCCCGCCCCCGGGAGCCAGGGGAGCCCCGAAGCGGGGAGCCGAGGACGCGGTCGCGGCCGGGCGCCGACGGCACTCACTGGGGGCGCAGCAGACGAACACCTTCATCCTCAGACACTTCCAGTGCGGGCTGTGGGTGGGCGTGGCTGGGGACGAGACGGGGCCTGAGCTGCGTTCTCGCGCGTCACGCCCCTCCGCGCCGCCCCCCGCCCCGCGGCCGCGGCTTCCCGGCTCCCCGGCCCCGGCCCCGGGTCACCGCGGCTCCGCCGTCAGCCCGAGAAGCCCCTTTGGTCCCAGCCCTCAAGAAACCCCGAGCCCTGAGGTCTCAGTTCCGGAACGCTGCTCGCGGGAGCGGTGCCCCTGCGACCCAAACCGCGGACTGTCACTAAACCTCTCTCAGACTCAGACGCCGCCCGAGCCGAAGCCCTAAGGCCGCCAGGCCCCACGTGGCATCCCGGGCCGTCGAGCCCAGCGACGCGGACCACGTGGCCGCCACGTGGGCGCGCCCCAGCCCCTGCGGACCCCACCCCTGGCCGGCACTCTGACCCTCGCTTTCAGGCTCACCCCCCACCCCCCATCACGGGCCCTGCGGACCCCATCCCCTGGCTCTCACTCACTTTCCCCGGCCCCGCCCCCCCACCCCGGGACCCCAGCCCGGGGCCCCGCCCCCCGGCCTTCTCCCAGGTACGCTCTTTAGGCCCCGCCCCGGCCCCTCGGGGCCCCGCCCCCGTCACTCACCCCGCCCGGCCCCGCCTCGGCCGTCTCCCAGGTACGCTCTTTAGGCCCCGCCCCGGCCCCTCGGGGCCCCGCCCCCGTCACTCACCCCGCCCGGCCCCGCCCCCGGCCGTCTCCCAGGTACGCTCTTTAGGCCCCGCCCCGGCCCCTCGGGGCCCCGCCCCTGTCACTCACCCCGCCCGGCCCCGCCCCCCGGCCGTCTCCCAGGTACGCTCTTTAGGCCCCGCCCCGGCCCCTCGGGGCCCCGCCCCCGTCACTCACCCCGCCCGGCCCCGCCCCCGGCCGTCTCCCAGGTACGCTCTTTAGGCCCCGCCCCGGCCCTCGGGGCCCCGCCCCCGTCACTCACCCCGCCCGGCCCCGCCCGGCCCCGCCCCCCGGCCGTCACTCACAGATGTAGTAGTACTCGTGGCCGGCGTGGAACTCGTAGCCCAGCGAGAAGGCGCTGTAGCGCTGGAACTTCTCCGAGAACTTGATGGGGCTGTGCGGGGCGTGCGGGCGGTTGCACTCCCAGCGCTTGAAGCCTTGGCTGGCGTTGCAGGTGCGGTAGCCGGCGCGGCTCACCATGTACAGCACGTACTGCTCCGCCCCGCCCCCGGGGCCCGGCCCCGCCCCGGGGCCCACCCCCGAGCTGTTGTAGTGGGGGCAGTAAATATCCAGATAATCGTTCACATTCACCTGCACCGTGTAGCCCTCTCGCCGCAGGCTGCGGGGGAGAGGAAGCGGGTCAGAGAGAAGAAGCCCCACGCCAGCCCTCTTCCCACGTCGCCGCTCCGCAGACCTTCCCTAGGGTCTTCGGAGCTGCCTCTCCTCTCGGTCCCTGTCCCTGTCCCCAGGGCCCTAGTGCCACCAGTCCCGCGCTCGCCCTCCACGCCCACGCCTTGTGCGGTCCTCCTCCTGGCGGCCACCGGAGGGCAGCAAAGGCGCAGGGAAGCCCGGCCTCCCTCCGAAGGCGAAGAGGCGGGGGAGAAGGGAACGTACGCTCTGGTTACCACAGAAACGGCGCAGGCCCCAGCGACTCCCAGACCCAGGCCCGGATTTCCTCCGTCCATCCCCCACAATTCCCCACCGGGAGGAGTGGTAGGGGATGGGAGGGGAGGGGGAGAGTGGGAGGGAGCCCTTCCCAGAGATGCGCACCCCGCATCCCCTCCCCCGGCATGCTTTCCTGCTGCTGCCAGTCCACCCCAAGGCCAGTCAGCCAGGACCTGAGCTCACGGACGCACGTCTGGAGGCTTCGTGCATGTGCACGCACAAGTTCCGTGGCGCACACACAAATATGTCCACCGTCCACTCAGGCGGCGTGCCAGGATGGGCTGACCCCAGCCGCCTCGAGCTCTCTCCCTGCCCCCTCCACCCCCGTGACCCGCCCCCCAGACACACACCCACACACCCACCCACACACCCAGGCACATGCCCTCTCTGCACTACTACTGGCAATGAAGGTCCCCAATAATGTGAGACAACAAATCGGGAAGCTAAGGGGCTCAACACCAAAGCTCCACGGGGTATCATGCCAACCAGCCAAAACTTCCATCTCTATACATCCTGCTCCTCAACCTGGCACCACTGCGCCCTTAATGGCGCGAGGCAGAGTAGTGGGCGTAGTGCCCAGACAAGATGGCTGTGCCTCGTACTTCCTTGGTCCTTGTAGGGCACACAGAAGCGGGCACTGGGTCCCTTGTAATCCCCACCTGCCTTGCCAGTCGTCATCAAAGTGTTGGTCTTAATGCCCTCGATGGTGGTGCGGAGTGGTGCGGGGATGGGAAAAACATCTGAATGGAGAAAGAAACTCAGAGAAGTAGGAAAGAGTTTCCCCCAATTTCTTTAGGGTAGGAATGCACACGTCCTGGCAGGGAGAGAACATGGTGGACACAGAAGGCCTGGGGTACTTAGCAGCATGTCAAACCACTGGGGTCCCTAGTCCCTGGGAACTCCCTGGAGGGAGGGACTGGCTCCCTATGTCACCAAGCACCTCCCAGTGCCACAAATAGTAATTAGATCCATTAGGGAAACATGCTTGGAGGCCTCTGAATTGGGTGGAGCCTTGAGGGTCCCTCCCCACCTTAGCCTACTTGCCTGGCCTGGCCTGTACCGCCCCCTCCCCAAGCACTCCCTTCCAAGCCCAGCAGTAGGCAGAGGTGAGAGCTGGTGCCTGGGCACCTCAGTGGGAATGGGCACAGCCTTCTTGAGTCATCCGGAATGCCACCAGTCCCACTTGGTTCCCACGGGAGTGATGGGTCACTTAGGCCCCTCCCTGGCCCTGGCACTCAGGTGGGCAGGAGTCTCGGCCTGGGGCACTGGGAGCAGGAAAACGGGTTAGACCAGGCCTGGCTCCTGGCGCCACCTGGGTTTGCCTCTCCATCCCCAAGTGGCTTGCCTCTCGATCCCCAACTTCCAAGTCTACTGTTCCTTCCCCACAGGCTTTGAGGAGGGGGCCACCAGGGCTAGGGGGCCAGGCCTAAAGCCACTGCACAGCCACCCTGGGGCCTCCGTCCTTGAGCCTCACCTAGGTTTCCAGCCCTGCTCTGAAGTGGCCTCTTGCTGGGGCACTGCCCAGATTCCCCTACAACACAGCCCATTCCAGCAAGCAGTAAGCCATGGCCAGAGCTATTGGGACAGGTGACCTCAGTTTCCTCAACAGGGCGGGCCCTAGCCTTACAGAAAGGCAGCTGGGTGAGCACCTGGAAGAGAAGCCATCTTTTACCTCTCCCTGGGCTGGGTGGCAGGAAGAGCCCCTGAAATGCCCCCCAAGCTGGGCATGTGGGAGGCACAGCGGCTTGTATCTGGTGGGCAGGGGGCTGGGTGCCAGAGTCCCCAGTCAAAAGTCCCGGGAGACCTGAGTGAGGTGTCTGCTTGGCTTGGGCGCTGTAATTGAATCTGTCATCCTCCCCGCCCTGGCAGAGGAGAGGAAGGTGCCACTAGGCCCAGCAAAGCTCCACAGCTGACTCCTCCTCTAGGGCCCCAGCTCCCCATCCCTGGGGGGGAGGGGGGGACCCGGGGGCCTGGGGTGTGCCTGCCCCTTCAAACAGGTCTCTATTCTTCCTGCCTTCATCCCGTACTGGCCTCCACCTCTCTCGCAGAAAGGCCAGTGTTCACACACCCCACCTGGAGGGGTGCCCCCTCACCCCGTTATTTCGTCTCTCCCGGCTCTCACCGCCTCCGGGGCGCATTCCGACCCTTCCCTGTCACTCCTTCAGTGCCCCGCCTGCTCGAGCCTGCTGGGGTGGGCGGCGGGAGAGCAGGGAAGGAGCAAACCTCTCCCCGCGGGGCAATTAGGGGCAGGTAAACAGGGTGTCTAACAAGACCAGGGAGTAGGGAAGGCATCCCAAGGGGCGCTGAACTTGTTTAATCCCTGCCCCCACCCCTAGAAGCCGGGATGCAGAGCTAAAGAAGTGGAGGAGGGATGGCAAGACACCGACCCGGGCTCTCCTCCCCTCTAGCGCGCGGCCCCGAGGCGGCGCGCCGCTCGCTCCAGCAGGCGAGGCTGGACCACGTGCGCGCGGCGTGGGGTCCGCGCGCCCGGCTGGGGGTGGGTGGGTGGCGGGAACGTTCGCGGGGCGGCGCGTGCACGCTGACACCTCGGCGCCCCGCCCCGCCGCGTCTCGCCATCCCCGGCCCGGGGCCGGGCTTCTCCGGCCGGCGTCGGGTGGGGGAGAGGCAGCGCGCCCCACATCCCCGCCCCCCTCCCTGCGACAGCGGCGGGCGGCGGCGAAGGTTTATTGATCTGCAGCGGCGGCGAAGAGCGAGAGACCCGCCGAAAGCGAGACACACAAACGGAGTGAGAGGAGACGCGCGCAGCGAGAGGGGAGACTAACAGACCCGGGTCCCCGAGAGGGGACAGGGCGAGACCCAGCGAAAGAGAGGGGCCCAGAATCGGAGAGAAAGAGGACCAGGATGGGAACGGAGGGAGGCTTGGAGAAAGGGAGAGACGTGGGGGCCGATCGGGGAGGCCCCCAGACAGCAGAGACTGAGACGGCTCTCAGGGGCGGGCAAGGGGGTACGGGGCAGAGGCTCGGGGGCAGGGAGAATACGAACAGAGGGAAAGACCAACAGGGACGTAGTACAGCCTCAATAAATATTTGTTGAATGAACGTGTGAATGAGAGATCAGCAACAGAAACATTTCAGGGAGAGAGAGGTAGGGAGACGGCTAGAGAAAGATGTTCCCCAGGCTTCTTGAGTTAGGGGCGAATAACAACGCCTTGCTCCGTTCTGTAAGGCAAGGAAGCGCGGGGCCAGGGGGCATACATGTGGCCATCAGCCGGTCCTCCCACCCCCACCCCAAATTCAATTCCGGGCTCAGGGGACCCCTCGACCTCACATTCTCCTTCTTCCCTCCAGTATAGTACCCTCCATCCCTAGTTTCTGGGCCAGGTTGGGAACTGGTCTCTCCAATTACAGCGGATCAAACGGAGGGCCTGAGTGGGTGGACGAGGGGCGAGATCACGACCGCTGTGCAGGGCACTGCCCCCAGGACTGTCAAAGGAGGCCTCTGCACGTGTCCTACAGCACCCTCCCACGTGACCCCAGGAGGCGGGGTCGCAAGACCCTCTCCACGTGACCCCAAGGGGCAGAGACCCTCAGCACGTGACGGGGGGTGGGAGCCCGGCGCCCAGCTCACGTGACCGGGGGGAGGGGGGCGCGGGAGCCCGTGGCTCGGCCCGGCCCCGCCCCCAGCTCCCTGGCCCTCTCCACTCCCGGCTCCGGAGCACGTCGCTCTCACGATTTATGGGGCCGCGGCTGCCGCAGTGAGGGAGCCGGGGAGCCCGGGCGCAGCGGCAACAAAGGCCGAGGAAGCGAGGCGGGGGCGGCGGCGTCCTCCCAGCCGGGTGCGCGCCCCCTCCCACCTCTGCCGGTCCAGACCTGCGGGGGAGCGGGGAAGACTGAAAGAAGGCTCCCGGAACCGGGCTCCCCCACCCTCTCCCAGGGCTTTCACCTGAGCCCAGGTGTATGCGGGGGAGGGGAACCTGATCAACAACATTCCCCCCCACACCCGGCCGTTCCCGCATACCCCTGGCTCCGGCTTACCCTAAGAACGCGGGGGTGCCCCGAGGGTGGTGGGAACCCGGGGCCCCTCACCTGCGTACTCTCCACTCCCCGCCAGACTCTAGTGGGGCGGGGGGAGGCGGACGTGTGAGTCTGGGGGAGGGGGACGAGCTAGATAGAACGGGGAGTCAGCCTCCAGCACCCCCCGGAGTTCTTCGAGTCCCGCTCCGGGGGGGAGGGGCCTCATCCCCACCCCCGAGGTTTCCATGGGAAGCGAGAGGGGGGCGTCGTTGGCTCATCCCCACCCCCAGTCTGACACTCCGGGCGCGAGCAGGGAGAGAGGGGGAGGCGCGGAGCCCCAAACAACAAAGAGCGGAGCGGCGAACGGCAGCCCCTCCCCCGGGAGGTTGGGGGTCGCGGCCGCCCGGCCCTCCCGGTCCCCTCCCCTGGGGCCTCGCCAGTTGCTCCCGAGTCGCCCCCCGGGGTGGGGAGCCCGAGGCGGTGCCGCCGCCGCCGCCTAGGCTGGTGTGACAGTGACCCCCGCGTCCCTAGGGATGCCCCCAACACACAGACACACACGGAGGCACGGCGGGGAGGAGGAGACAAGGGCAGGGAGGACTGAGCAGATTGGGGACCTGGGCCCGCAGCCGGCACCCAGCCGCCGCGCCACACACCCCGGGAAACCACACGGCCGCCCTGACACCCGCCCAGACCGCGGCGGCGCCGGCAGCCACCCCAGCCCGGACGCGGCCGGCCACGCGGGCAGCGACCGCAGCCCCCTCCCCGCCCCGCCGCCCGCTCCCACCCCAGACGATCGCCGACGCAGACGCACAAATCACACACTCAGACACACGCACGCTGACAGCCGCGCACGCCTGCTCACACTTGGAGTCACACGCCGTCCCCAGGCCGGGCGTGAGTGCGCGCGTGTGACATGCCGACACCTGCGGGCCTCTCTCTCTTTCACCGGTACCCCCCGTTTCCATCCCCGCCGAGCAGCACCTCCAGGACCCCCGCCTCGGCGACCCAGCCCAGCTCACCCCCGCCTGGCTTTTCCCCACAACCGGGGCAACGCATTCGGCTTCGTTCTGAGGCGGTGCTGGGCCGGACTCCCTGCCTCAGCGCTGGACCCCACTTTTGAAAGCAGGAGTCCTAGACAGAACCCCTCGAAAGCCTCGCCGCTGAAAACAGGTCATCCCTGCCCCCCCCCCGTGCGACGGCCCAGCATGGCTGAAGGGGGCGAAGATGGGGGACTGTGCGATGGGGGCACGCTACTCCAGTGCGGAGAGAAGAAAGGTGGGGTGCCGCGTCCCCGAGCAGCCTCCTCCGCACGGCCCAAGTCCTCGACCCTAGACCTCAACAGCCTCTTTCAGACGCCCCCCCGCGAGTTTCGCAGACGCCCACGGAGTGTGTCCCCCTCTCCCTCGTTCCCAGCCCCCGGCCGTGCCTCCCAGGACCCCCACCCCGGGGCCCCCGGGACTTCCCGGGCCCACCGGCTCCCCCTCTCGCAGACGCGGGACGCACTGGGCTCCCTGGGCCCCCGACTCACTGCTGGTTGGAGCTGTTCCAGTACACCGCATGCCGGTTTCCCAGCGCCCCCCCGGGCCCCTGGGCCAGCAGCGGCAGCAGCGGCACGGGCACGAGCAGCAGCAGCAGCAGCAGCGGAGCCGCGGCCATACCCGGAGCCGCCGCCGCCGCCGCCCCCGACTGAGCCCCGCGCGCCCGGCTTCTCGCCTCCCAGCTCCCTGCCGCCGCCGCCGCCGCCGGCCCCTAGGCCTTAGGCCCCGCCCCCAGCCCTTCCCCCCGCCCTCCGGGCGCGCCCCCGAAGCCCCGCCCCGGGCGCGCTCCCGCCTGGCCCCGCCCCGCTCGGCCCGGAGCGCGCGGCCCTCGGGAGGTGGGGACCGTGCTGTCCCCTCGGGAACAACCGGCGCGCGCCTCCTCTCCCCCTCCTAGGTTTACTTTTTGCTTCCGCGGGTCCCGGGCCTTCTGCCGCCCAGTCTCGAGTTCCCTGGAGACGGATTAGGGAGGCCCAGACCGGGGTCTCGACCTCCTGTGAGCACATCCCTCCCTGGGATGGGGTGAGGAGGATTTGAAAAGGAGCTGGGGGTCCAGGACCGCTTCATAGTAGAACTAGGCAACCCCCCCCTTCCTTCTGAGCAGTCTGCCCTCCGCTCCCTCCATGGTCCTCTTCCCGTGTGAATAAGGGGGCCGGGGGCTGCAGGGTGGAGAAGCCTCAGTGCGCACCAAGGACCTGACCGCTCCTGACCCAAAGCCCCCACCAGAGGATCATGAGGCTTGTTTTTCTTGGAGGAGAGGGAGAGGAGCTCGCCCTGAGAATGTCCATACTGGGTGTGCAGGAGAGTCAGCTAGAGAACCTACAGAGGATCCCTCACTCACGCTCAAGCAGGGCCCGTCCAGTGCAGCCAGCGGGGTCCCCCAGCTTGGTCGCTGCTGGGCGCACTGACGGGAAGGCAGATCCTGGGCTCCAGCTCTCACCGACATTGTCCCCACAGTGACGCCCAAGCACAGACCTGGCACACACACATTCATGAGAGCAGACGCAGGGAACAGAGAGACGCAGCACTGGATACAGACATTTACACACACAGGTGCCCCTGGCCAACACATACAGGGAGTGGCGCTGAGACAACCAGAGATGTGTCGACACACAGAGACATGGGAGCACACCCCAGACCATGCACACGCAGGGACTCACACACAGACCCACATGCACCATGACACCACAGTTCCCTGTTCTCCTCTGGTTCCTTCTTTGCCCAGGAAGTAGAAGTTGAGGGAAAGGGTCTAGGATCCAGACCTAGGGGGTGCCCAGCTCTCATCTCTTCTCTCTTGGAGAGGCTCAGACTAAGAGTGACCAGGTCTCAGGTCAGGTTCTGACAATCCACACCAATGACCTGTGCCCGGGGAGGCTGGTGTGATGCTCTTCTCTCCTTTACTTCAGGAGAGAGGACATGCAGGCACCCTCCATCTGCTGATCCTTGGCAGGACAGGGGTCCTCAGGTGCTGCGGTGGGGGGTGTGGGGATGGTGCCATTCAGCATGGGCCTCCTGCCTAGCTGCTGCCGGGCTAGAACAGACTCTGTCCTCCCTCGCTTCCCTCCACCCCAGGAGATCTTCTCTCCCTTCTCAGGAGCCAGAAGATAAATTAGGCCCCTGGGGGGGGGGGGGAGGGAATGGGGGACTTTGCAAACAGCTCTCTCTTCCCCCAGACTCCTCACCCCCCAGGGAGATTTGTGTCACCCAAATGATGCTAACCTACCTACTCCAGGTGCCCCAATTCCAACCTCCTCCTCCGCCCCCCACACTCCCTGCTATGCAAAGGGAGGCTTCTCTCTGTAGGGCCCACAGTTGGCAGAGGGGCTGCCCATTTACATATGGATGGGAGCTTGCTGATTTGGTCTAGGAGTTCAGATTTCATTTTAGAAGCCTTAAATCCCTTTTTGTAGAATCTGGGTCCCACTTATGGATGTGAGTCTTTTCCTGCAGGACTCAGATACTCCTGTTTAGAAACTAGCACCATCAGACCCAGTCCCCATAACTGAGCCCTTTCTCTAGGATTTAAGCAGCTCTATCAGGTTTTTAAGTTCTGAGACACTCTCTATAGAGCCTAGGCTTCTGTCTATGGGATCTGGTGCTCTATCTGGTGTGTTTTAGGATAAGCACCCTCTATGCAGACGCAGTCTTTAGGGTGCATCTCTTTGCAAGTAGTGCCTTTGTGCACAAACAAACGCGGTTTCCTTCAGCAGGAGGTGGCCCTATGTGTTTCTCCAAGTTGGTCAGGGAGTTTGAGCTGATGGCACCCTTTACCGGCTCCGTGGGCGACTCCTTGGTGCCTTGCACAAACTGTAAACTAAGTGGCAGTCTTGACGTGGGATATGGACCTCCAATCCAGCTGTGATGCACACGCCTGCCCCTAGGCCTCCAGTCAGGGGCTCTTGGCCTCTCTGGAGATTGGGTCTCTGTGTAGAAGATTGTGGTCACTGTCTATACACCTGGGATCTGATCTGAAGCCGAGGCCTCTTTTTGTGGCATCTGGGTCATCAGTGGGCTCTAGGTCTCTGTTTATAACCGTCACTCAAATTTTTCCCAACTGTGACCCACAGTAAGATGTATATTTTATTTTATTTTTTTAAGATTTATTTATTCATTTTAGAGAGAGTGAGAGCAAGCGCGAGCAGGGGAGGTGCAAAGGGAGAGGGGGAGAGAGAATCACTAGCAGACTCCCTGCTGAGTGGGGAGCCCGATGCAGGGCTTGATCCCACAACCCTGAGATCATGACCTGAGCTGAAAGCAAGAGTCAGACGCAGGGCGCCTGGGTGGCTCCGTCGGTGAAGCATCTTCAGCTCAGGTCATGATCCCAGGGTCCTGGAACTGAGTCCCACATCAGGTTCCCAGCTCAGCAGGGAGCCTGCTTCTGCTGCTCCCCGCTTCTTGTGCTTTTTCTCTGTCAAATAAATAAATAAAATAAAGTAAAATAAGAGTTGGACGCTTAACCGGCTGAGCCACCCAGGTGTCCAAATGTATATTTCACAATACAGCACACGTGTGCACGTGTGAGCATGCACACACACAGAACAATAAGTGTCATGAAACAATAGTTAGCCTTACTACAGAGGATGCACTCTGATATTTTTCTCCTCTTCTAGTTTTATTTATTTATTTTTTTAAAGATATTATTTATTTATTTATTTTTAAAGATTTTATTTATTTATCTGACAGAGACACAGCGAGAGAAGGAACACAAGCAGAGGGGTGGGGGAGGGAGAAGCAGGCTTCCTGCCGAGCAGGGAGCCCAATGCGGGGCTCGATCCCAGGACCCTGGGATCATGACCTGAGCCGAAGGCAGACGCTTAACGACTGAGCCACCCAGGCGCCCAAGATATTATTTATTTATTTGACAGAGAGAGACATAGAGAGAGAGGGAACACAAGCAGGGGGAGTGGGAGAGGGAGAAGCAGGCTTCCCGCGGAGCAGGGAGCCCGATGCGGGGCTCCATCCCAAAACCCTGGGATCATGACCTGAGCCGAAGGCAGACGCTTAACGACTGAGCCCCCCAGGTGCCCCATCCTCTTCTAGTTTTAAATCTTTTTTTTTTTTTTCTTAAATAAAAAGGTGGTTGAGACGCATAAAATTTATTCTTGATTTCACCACCCCAAGGGGTCACAAGCTATGGTTTGAGACACTGGTGTCTAAGGCCTGGGCCCGGACAGACACCTGTCTGTAGGGTGAGGGCCTCTGCTGGGGCTGGGGTTCTCTCCATGGGGCCGGTCCTCCCTCTAGGGCCTCAGGCCTCTTTTCTCTTACCTGCAGGTTCAGCCTGCATCTCCCTCTGGGCCTCAGTCTTGCTGGTGCACCTCTGGTTGCCATGTTCTCTCCAGGGACACTGAATTTAGACCCCTGGGAGCCCTCTGACATGGTGCCTCACTCCCACCCGCCTCAGGGCCAAGGAAGCAGGGAGTGGAACAGGTCGGGGGCAGAGGGAGTACTCGGGCTGCGTGGCCCAAGGCGGCTCCCAGGACATCGGGTGGCAACCACAGAGCTGAGCTGTGTTCAATAAATCGTGGAGGCTAGGGCCTGGGGGAGGGGGAGACCAGCAGAGAAGGGGGGGCCATGGATAAATAATTCATTAAACAAATAAACAAGGAGCCTGCAAGGGGAAGGACGGGCAAGTGTGGGCACGGGGGAGGCAGCCGCCTGCCCCAGACATGAAATAGTCCCAGGTTCTGCACCTTGCCCAGGGCCCATGCGTCTGCCCCGGAGCAGGCAGGCCGTCGGGATGGCGGTCACGTGGAGACCTGGGTGCCAAGGAAGAGGATGATGGCACGTGCCTGCTGGCTGACTCTCCCCAGTGTGTTGTCGGCATGGCTGTGCGATGCGCCATGTCCTGAGTTGACGTGGAGTCACACACACACACACACACACACACACACAGCCACAGGGGCCGCCCCGGCACGCCCACCGCCGTGTGTCCAGGACACAGGAAACCAGGATGCCGGGCTCGGTGGGTCGGTCAGGGTGTGAGAACCTCTGACCCTCGTCACGCCCTGCTCCCTGTAATGAGCCCCACAAGCTGCGCGGCCTGAAGTGGGGAGGCATCTCCGGGGTGCTGTGAGAGTGTGTGTGAGTCCCCTGAATGCGCTTCAGGAAAAGAGGAGTGTGGCCTCGCAGTGACAGGGTGGGCTTGAGGTTGCGCCCCAGTCCCCGCACTCATGGGCTCTTCTAGTCACCCAATTTCTGGCTGCTTCCTCATCTGTGAAGTAGGGAAAATAATACCCTTCCTCCAGGAGTTGGCTGAGATTGGGACCCGGTCTGGGAAGCCCTTAGCACAGTGCTCAGGACCCATGAGGTGCTTGGTTCATGGGGGCCTCATCACCAATTAGTTTTACCCATTTATTGACTTATTTATTTATTTTAAAGATTTTATTTATTTATTTGACAGAGAGAGACACAGCGAGAGAGGAAACACAAGCGGGGTGTGGGGGGAGGGTGGTGGTGGGAGAGGGAGAAGCAGGCTCCCCGCTGAGCAGGGAGCCCGACGTGGGGCTCGATCTCAGGACCCTGGAATCATGACCTGAGCCAAAGGCAGACACCCAACCGATTGAGCCCCCCGGGCATCCCATTTATTTATTTTTTAAAAAGACTTTATTTTTAAGTAATCTGCATACCCAACGTGGGGCTCGAACTCACACCCACGAGAGTCACCATCCCGGCGCCCCCCAACACCGTTATTATTAAGGATTCTCTCCTGAGTTCTGCCCACTGAGACTAGCCCTGAACTGGCTGTTCCATAACTTCTCCCGCTCTCCAAGCTTCTCTGAAAGCTGTCATGGTGACAGAGCTGGCCCAGGGCTTGGGGAGTGGGATGGGGCAGGAAAGTTAGATGGAATCAGGGGGAGGGCAAGCTTCCTCCCAAACCAGGAAGTCCCCATCCTTGACAGTGTGGAAGGAGGGGTCCCTGACCTTCTCCTCAGACTGCAGAGCCTCTTCATAACCCCTAAAACTGCCAAGATCCAGACTCTTTTCTTCCCGCCACAGAAACTGAGCTTTCCAGCAAGCGGCCTCAGGAGCGGGAACTGGGGCAGCGGTCTCTGAGTAGCCTCAGCCCCCACCCCGCCCCATCCTCATCACCAGAACCCTAGCCCCCACCTTCTGCCTACCGGTTGAGAGGATCCCTGGCGAAGGTGGCTACGTCTGGGTGAAACCCAGAGAAGTGGCTCCCTGGAGTGGGTGGGGGAATCCGGGCTGGAGAGAGCCTCTGAGGGCCTCCTAGTAGGCTCCAGCATTCCCCAGCCCTCCAGAGTCCTCTGGAAGGGATCTGCTCCCTGCAGGAGAGAGCCAGCAGACACGTCTGAGCTGGCCTGCTCCTCCGCAGACAGAACGAGTTGGGGGAGGGGGGCCTGAGATCTCGGTGAGGAGTGGTGGCGGGAACCCCCCTGTCTCCTCTGGGGAGCCAGGGCCAGAGGGCACTACAGCTTGGGCACACCCTACCACAGCCCGGGGCCCAGCCCTTTGCCTCCTGTGGCCGGCCGCTGCCAACTGCGGAGCCGAGAGTCTGGGCCCCCAAGTGTGGAGACGGTGCCTGCCCACCCCTTCCCCAAGAGCCAACATCAGTTCTCTCTACGCCCCTCCCCTGGGCTGGGCAGGTCCAGGCTAATCTGCACAAGAGCTTCACGGCAAACATTGATCTGTAATAAAACCACAATGTGTGTTCAGGAGAAGGGGTTCCAGACACAGAGAGATGCAGACAACACACATACACACGCTCACACACATATACAGATGCAAAATGTACAGCTCTGGGAGGGCAAACACCAGCAGTCCTGAAAACACCCCTGACCACAGGCCCACGCTGAGTCACACACACAGGCTTTATGAGGTCTGCACATCCCCTCCCTGCCTCAAACTTTGTCCTTCAAGCTCACGTCTCCTCTGACAGCCCATTTCCCCATGGCACTTTGTATGTAGCTCTGTCGTAGCATTTGCACTTGGCATTAGAGTTGTTTGTTGGCCAGTTTGTCTTCCTGAGTAGTCTGAAGATTCCTTAAGGGAAAGCAATCTTGTCTGATGCAAGTGCATATCCCTAGCCTGCAGCACACGGCCTGGTGTTGAGTTAGCAGGAGTAGGTAAGGTGATTCCCAACAAATTGTTGCATTGATACACTGAGGAAGAAGCGCACTCAGACGGGGGGGACACCCGCGTCTAGAGCGCCTCTGCCACACCCAGGATAACCAGCGCCCGCTGCTCACACCTCTGGCCCTGCCTGCGGGTCTCCTGGCCCCGGGGCCCCACTACCTCTGAGCTTCTTCAAAGGGCCTCCCTCTTGCTTCGCTGGGAGACCATGAATCTGCGCTCCACCGGAGGGCTGGCAGGCAAACTAAGGGTTAATGACACCTCATTAGTATTTAATTGGAGGAAGGAAGCTGGCCTGGCACCAGACAGGTGGGCAGGCCTGCCCCTCGCTGGAAGCAGGCAGCCCTTGTTCCAGCACCCTGCCGGGCGTGTGGGTGATTTGGCCCTGGAGACCCTCTACCCGGCCCCGGGGCACCTTCCCCCACCATTTGCTTTGCCAATTTAATCTCTAGGCAGTACAGACCAGCCCTCCCCATCTGTCAACAAACATCCAGAGGGAGAGGCAGACTTCTTTCTGCTTTAGCTAGGCTGCGCCCCCTCCCACTGGAGGAGACGTTGGAGGCTAGAAGAGGGGTGGGGTAAGGAACCGGAAAAGGAGAAATTATGGAGCTGCTAAGGGATAAAGTCGGGATACAGACAAGTGACAGGGCTGGGGATGTGGAGATGTCTGCTCAATTTGACCTTAAATGAAGAGAATGCAAATGAGATGCAGATGATATGCAGAAGACCAGGAGGATCTCAGAAGCATTCCATGTGGCGGGAGCCGGGCACCCAGGACCCCAGCGGTGTTGCCAGTACTCCTCCCCTAACCTTCCTGGGGTAAGTGGCACTGACCATTACTTGGAGGGAGAAAAAGGATCTCGAGAATGATACGAGCTTGGTTGGGCTAGGGCGGCGGGACCTGGGAAGCTGAGCTCCATCCAGTCTCCCCGCCCCCAAGCCAAACAGCCACCCAAGCTGCCACTGGAGCTCAAGCAACGACCACTCTCCCGGTTACGGTGGGACGCACCGTCGGTTGCTATGGGGACCCCCTCCCCACGTCCAGGCCTGAACCAATGGGCATCACCGCTGATGACCTCATGCCCCAGGGCCCGGGATTCAGTTGGCTATTTGGAAGCCAGAGTGGCCCTCTCCGACTGCGTCACGGCTGGGAATCCCCCGACGACCCCAGCTGCCGTGGCCGGCTGAAAGAAGGGCGCGCTGGGAGCTCCCGATTTGATGAATGACTGAATAAGCAAAGGAAGGAACGGACTACTGAAAGAGGAGAGAGAGGGGTCACATCATAAAAAGACCAAAGCTTCAGGGTTTAGCTTCTAGAGAAAGAGGGTGGTTTGCAACCCCGTAAATTGTGGGGCAGGACCCAGGTCGCAGAGTCTTTCAGGCTCTTGGGACGACGAGACAGAGTGAGGCAAAGATGACCAGTTTTCGCATCTGCTGGGGAGAGACTAGGGCGGGCCTAGCGAATTGAGGGCCCCACCTTGGGCCGTCTAGCGCCGCCGAGTTTAGGGGAGATCGGTGACGCCCAAAACCTCACAGGCCTGCCCAGCCTCCTGGAACCGCGCCCCGGAACGCGCCTCGAGGCCTTCCCATGGGTCGGGCCCAGTCGCGGAAGGCCGCCCCGCACCTTCAGCCCGCCTCGCCCCGGGAGCGGACCTGGCCCTCTGGGGGGCGCGCCCCGGGGCTGGCCCGGCTGAACGCGCAGGGCCAGGTGTGAGGAAAGGGCGGGCGGGCGGGAGGTTGCGACCCTCGCACGGATGCCCTGCCGCCGAGGCGTCCGCTCAGACACCTGCAGGGAGCCGGCGGCCGGCGAGGGCGCACGTCCGAGTGCCCGCCCGCCGCCCGCGCCCCGCGCCCCCGCCTGCTCCGCACACTAGGCAGCAAGCGCGCCCGGCTGGGTGGGCGAGGCGGGCGGGGGGCGTCGGGGGGAGACCCCCACCGTCGTCAGTGGAGGGCAGGGCCCAGTCACCGGTCGCCCCGCGCACCTCGCTGACGGCTTCTGCGGGGGGGGGGGGGCGGTGCACGAGGCAGCAGTGCCCTCGGTTTCCACGGCGACACAGGACCCCCTCCTGGATGACAGGGGAGACGCCACTCGAACCCAGGACCAGAAGGCCGGGCCGCAGCTCACGCTCGAGCTCAGACGCCGCCCGTGGGCGCCCCGGGCCCTCGGCGTCCGCTGCAGAGCGCGGTGGGGGCCGAGGGCGCGGACGCGCGGACACGCGCACCTACAGACGCGGCGTTTTCTGACCCCGGCCTCGAACCGGGGAAGGGGTCGACTCACGGCGGCTCCGCCCGCGGTGCCGCCCTCCGCCCCTCGGGCAGAGCAGTGGAACGAACGCGAGCGAGCGGGGTCTGCCGGGTGCGAAAGGGTGGGGGAGGGGCCCGCGAGTTCCCGGGGTCCGGCGTCTGTCAGTCTCGCGCCCCCCCGCGGCTTCACCCGCCGCCTCTCGCCGCCGCAGCCGGGCCGAGCTAATCAGCACAACGTCCACCTATCGATCGCTGGCTCGGTGCCAGGCGGGCCGGCACGGTGCCAGCGGGAGCCGCGGGGCACGGCGGCGGGGGGAGGGGCACCCCTCACCCGGGCTCCACCGAGGACACCGTTCAGAAAGAGGGCTCTGGTGGGGCTTCTGGGGTGGATCACAGCCGCGCCTGCAGAGGTGGGAGAGGCAGTGTGGGGCTGAGAGCAAAGGGGGCGCTCCCTCCTCGGCCCCACCCCCTCCTCCTTATAAAAGCGAAGAACAAAGAAGCCGCTGGGGAAGGAGGCTTTGATCTGACCCCACCTTCCCAGTTCTAGACCAGGCACCGCCCAGACTGCCCTTGGGGAGGGGGAAGGATGCCCGGCTCGCAGGGACCCAGGCATTCTGAAACTCTCTAGCGGCCCTGGCGTTTGCCCCAACGCCCTGCTTGGGGCTTGGGCACCGCCCCAAGTGGGTGGGCTGTCCGGAGCATCTGCCCCCTCCTCAGCTCAGGAAGCCTGCTAGGGAGGTGGGAGAGGGTGCCGCTGGCTCCCACCGCACACCGCCCAGAGGGGTGCCCATGGCCGCCCGGAAGGGATGGCCTGGGCGGAGCTGACATGGAGGTCAGGCCAAGTGAAGCTGAGAGCAGAGGCTGCGGGGCGTCCCGGGGTCAGGGAAGGAGCCAGAGGGTGGTAGATGGGGGAGAGCAACCGCAAGTTGGGTGGTTTATTGACGGTTTGGTCCGGACACTTATAAAAATACAAACTGGCATGATATTCAACCTCATAGCAAGTCCGTCTTCATAGAAGACAAGTGAGTGACCCCCTGGGGAGGGGAAGATGCTGCCCCAGGGAAGAGGCCCACAGGGTACTGGGCACAGATGGCAGGCCTTCTCCCTTGCCCTGGTCTGGCAATCCACCTGTCCCCAGGTCTTCGGTCTTGGCCCCAACAGACTCAAGGATTCAATCCCACCAAATCCCAGTCTTTCTGCGGGGGACAGGATGAGAACGTCAAAGCAGCTGACGGAGACCCCACATTTGCCTTGCCTGGGCTCCAGGGTGCCCAGGGCTGTATGCAGCTCCCCTTCGGCCTGTGATGAGGGGCCAGCCCCTGGAAGGGTCACCTCAGACCCTCTGACCTCCCCGTCACTATTCCGTTGGTCTGGCTGGCTTGACTGCTCCCAACTCGAGAGGCAGGGGCCCCTCCTCCAGGGAGTCTCGGGAGGGCTCTGGCTCCTGGGCGTAGCAGGAGGGGTCTGCTTGGCTCAGAGAACTCGCAGGAGGCGCAGAATTGGCAGCAGAAACAGCAGCAAGAGACAGAGGGGGCTGAGAGCACCTCCCCCTCGCCACCCTGATGTGCCGCTCTCTCCTGGGCTTCCAACAGGATGGGCTGACTCCGACTCTGTGAGGGAGGGCAGCACTGAGGGACCCTCCCCTTCAGCAGCCTCCTTCCTGCCCTGCCCCTGGCCTCTTCACTCCCAGCCCACCGCGGCTGAGGCCTGGAAGGATCCTGCCCTGGAGATGCCATCTGCTTGGCCCAGCATAAAGGGGCAGAGTGGAAGCTCCCACAGAGAGAAACGGGGGATCAGAGGCCACAGCTAAAAGCTCCACCTGGACCCCTCAGGGTCTGATGCTCCCAGACTCTCCCCACCGCTTCCCTCACTCCAACGACCCCCACCCACCAGAGGGGTGGCTCCCCGCAGCCCAACCACTTACTGCTCTCCTCACAGCAGACAGACACCTGGAGCCTCAAGCACTTGCCAGAACTCTCGGGAGTCGGTACCGCTGGGTGGTGGGAAATTGGGAGGAAGAAGTTAGCACGGGCTAGCTCGCACGCCTCAGACTCCTTCAGACCCTTCCCGTTTGTCTTCCCTGCAGTTCCCTGGAGAGCGTCCCCTCACTTTTGGTCCACACCCTGGTGCCAGGCCCCGGCCGTGCCTTCCACCACGGCCCCTTTCCTAGCTCCTCTTGCTTTCTCCTCCTCTCTACGGACTCCCCTAGATGTCCCCCTACTCAGTTTAGACTCAGGTCCCCCCCTCTTCATTCCCAGGCCCCACCGCAGGCCCTCTGCCCACCTGTGGCGATGGCAGGATGCCCCCCCGCCGCCCGCCCGCGACAGCCAGCGTGCCCCTCCTCACTCACAGATGTAGTAGTAGGTCTCTCCAGGCAAGAACTCAAAGCCAAGGGAGAAGGGTGTGAAGCGCTGAATCTTCTCAGAGAATCGAACCGGGCCAAAGGGAGCGAAGGGGAGGGCGCACTCCCAGCGCTTGAAGGCTCCTGGCCCCTGGGCCTGGCAGGCCTCATAGCCTGGCCGCTCCACCATGTATAAAGCGAACGTCTCGGGGCCGTCAGGGGGCCCTGGCCCCTCATAGTGCGGGCAGAAGATGTCTAGGTAATCGTTGAGCTCCAGCTTCACCACGGCGTCTCCTCCAAGCAGCCTGCAGGCATCAGGCAGGGGCGGGCTGAAGGGCCACGTTGCAGCTCCCCAGGGGCGTGAGGGTCCCGGTGGTCCCTTCCAGCCTCTCCCCCACCCACTGGAGAGGGAGCAGCTCAGCGAGGCCTGAGTTTCCCAACCTGACAACTCTTGAGACACAGAGTCAAGGAGTGGGGGGGCGGGGGCGGGGGCGGTAACCAGTTTGCAGGTATTGAGAGGTGAAGGGACGGCAGTGCCCATAACCACGTGCTCAAGCCTGAGACGGCCACTCTCCAGACCCTACATTTTCAGGCTGGAGCTGCCGCCAGCTCTCCAGCCCCAGTGCCCAACAGAGGGCCTGGCAGAGCACTCTGCACTTGGTACATGTCAGGTGCTAAGAAGCTGGGGCGCAGAGACGAGGGGTACAAATCTGGGCCCGCAGCGCAGTCACGGCTGCAGACATGGACGCCAGGAACCGTATCCTCATCAGCAGAGGCAGAGAGAGGAAGACAGCTTTCCGGATCTCAATGCAATACTGAGAAGAATGTCACAGTGAAAGGAAAGAAGGAAGGAAGGAAGGAAGGAAGGAAGGAAGGAAGGGAGGGAGGGAGGGAGGGAGGGAGGGAGGGAGGGAGGGAGGAAGGAAGGAAGGAAGGAATAGGCTGTGGATGGGGGAGGGCCCTCCAGGTATCAACTCATCTTTGGCCTACTCAGGACTCCCTTCCCTACCTCTTGGGAGCTGCCTGTGGGAGCCAGGACAGGCGGGAAGGGCTGGGACAGGCTGCCCCCACAGCATTATACACTGTGAACTACTTTCCCCCTTCCTGACCATCCACACAGTCTACCGTGACGGATGAAAGGCCTCTAACTATCCCTCAATGGGTGGTCTAAGGACCACCTGCATTTGGAGTTCTGATCAGAAATGCAGATTCCTGGGCTCAGCTCAGACCCACTCAAACACAAGCTGGGCCTTGGTATGATTTCTGCAGCATCCCCAGTGCCTGGAAAAGTGTCCTGCCCAAACACTTAATAAATATTTGCAGATTGAATGAACAGGCCAGAAACCTCAGGGTTGGGGGCTAGGAACCTGAATTTCTAACAAGTTCTCCAAGTGATTCAGAGGCACTGGTCTGGAACAGAGAGAGGGCTTCGGAACTGGGAGGACAATAGCTGTTACCACGTGGTGCCAGCATTGTAATGACCTGTCTTGATGCCTGCCCTCCCCGGGGGGTCTCCGGGCTCCCAGAGGCCAGAGCTGAGGTCTTCTCTCTCTATATCCAGCATCCTAGCACACGTCCTGCGTAACAAATGTTGGTGAGTGAACAAATGAACAGAGTCACAGATTGTCTCAAGTAGAAAATCAGAAAGGCAAACAGATGGAGAAAGCAGAGAGACAGGGAGAACTGGGGAGGAAAATGCAAACAGTAAAAAATACCGAGGTTCAAAGGCTCGGAAGAAAGAAAGAATAATTTGTATCTACAGCCTGCACCTCTTCCACACACGTGACCTCGGTCAGCCCGCCTGATTTCCCAGGGTACCAGGTGTTATTAGCCCATTTTACAGATGAGATAACTGAGGTTAGGGAGTCAAACGGCTTGCCCGAAGGTGATTCAGCTGGAAGGGCAGGGCCGAGAATGGACAGAAATAGAAGGACCCAGAATGACGGAGATGAACGCAGAGATAGTGAATGAGCTCAGGAGGCCAAGCGAGCAGGAGAGTAAACCACGCTCCTTCTCAAGCGTGAAGCCCCCTCCCTCCCTCTCCAGACCGCCCGCCCCAGCTCGGAGGTGGAGGGGAACAGCAGGAGAGAGGGAAAAGCGAGGGGGCGGGGCTCGGAGCGCAGGCCGGGGGGCCCCCGGCTCCGAGATCCCACCTTCCGCCTTCAGAGCTGGGGGTCCTCCGCCCGCCCCCCAACACGTGCGGGCGGGGGGGAGCCCCGGGCGCGCCTCGCCCCTCCCCTCCCCCTCCCCCGCCGGCTCAAACAAAGGAGCCCCGGCGCGCGGCCCGGGCCAGGCGGCGCCGCGCACAGAGCGAGAGTGGGGCGCGCGCCCGGCCCGGGAGCGCGCAGGCCCGGGCCGCAGTCGGCCGGGTTCGGCCCGGCTACCTGGGGTTACTGGAGTTCCAGTAGACAGCGTGGCGGAGGCCGGAGCCCCCTCGCAGCGGGGAGCTGAGGAGCGCGGCCCAGAGGACAGTCCGCAGCAGGGGCAGCAGCCGCATCGCCCCCGGGGTCCGCTCTGGTCTGGTCCGGCCGGTCCCGGCCCGCTTCTCTGCCGCCGCGAGAAAGGTACAAAGTGGAGGGGGGGGTGCGGAACTGGGGGTGGGGTGCAGAGACTCGCAGGCCACGCCTCCGGGTAACTTTCCACCAATGGGGGCGCACCCCCGCCTCCCCGCTCGGAGCCAACTCCTGTTAACCCTGTGTGCGCCGAGGCGCGCGCCAGGCTCGCCGCGCTCCCACCGGGTCTGCACCGTGTCACGAGGGGGCGGGAGGGGCGACGCAGTCCACTGTCGGGGAGTTCGTTTTAGGGAGGTCGCGTCTTTCGTGTCTGCGTTAGTACCGGGTAGGTAGGAAGCCTTATTACAAATTGGGAAGATTTAAATAGGAGCACACGGCCTTTCGCCAGAAAGAGGAAAAAGTGAGACACGGGCGAGGACCCACGAAGCCCGTCCAGCTCCACCTTAGCATATTGCCCCTTTTTGCCTATTCAGGGATAGCGCGGAGTGGAAGGGACAGATCGCCTCCTGCGACAGATCGCCCCTCACCCTCTCCCTCCCCTCCCCCTTACGGAGCCTTAGTGCCCACCTTGGGGTTGGCGCCTGTCCCTTTACGCCCCACACCTTCATTCTGGGCTGGGGGCCCACGCGGCCCCATTCCCGAAGTCGAAATAATGAGGTGGTTGCGTCCTGTACAAAGCACCTTTGTTCCCAAGCCCTCAGGTGGGGCAGGGGAGGGGGAGGAGGCAGGTGCACGGCCTTGGGATCGTGGGAGCCGCCGCCCCGCTCCGCCCCGGCTCCAGGGCTCTGAGAACACCAGCCAGATCCACTTTTCCCAGCTACTGGTCAGAGGGTGGGGACGGCGGGTCCAACAGCTGGGCCGGTTCGTGGATAGCCGCCTCTGGGGGCCATGCACACTCGGGCGCAAGGACTTGGCGACTGGGGGCGGCACGGGGATTTACAACTCCCTGGATACTGGATTGCGCAGAGTCATCCCAGACTGGGCAGAAACCAGCCGCGAGCATCCCGGGGACACACACGCTGACCCAGCCTGGGACTCTTCGCCCTCCCTAGCCCGCCTACGTCCGAGGCGGCAGCGCCTCCTGGCGGCCAGACCTGGAACCGCAGCAGGGCGACCTGGCCTTCCCCGAGCAGACAAAGTCCGAGGCACGCTCCCCAGACCTCAGGTTTATTGCACCAGAGCAGGGACAGGCTGCGTGCACCTCCCTCAGCCCAGGACGGCGCCCAGCCCCTTCCCACCCCCAGCTGCAACTGCCTGGCGGGTCCCTAGGGTGCTGCTCGTCGGCGCGTGGAGGTGCCCGGACTCTTAGGCTGCCCGCTCCGCCGTGTCCAGGCTCCGGCTCCTTCAGTCATCGCGGGGGACTCCAGGGGCCAGTCCGCCTCTTGAAGTCCTAAGTCCGGCTTGCAGGCAGCGGAACCTCAGCAGAGGTCAGAGGTAGAGCGAGGACGCTGCTGGGGGCGGCGGCGCAGGCCTGGGGTGCGGGAAATCGAGAAAAAAAGGTCAGAGGTCCCCCTTTCCCCAGACCATTCGCCCGGCGCTGGCATCCCCCGCACCCACCTGGACGGTACCACTAGGGGCGGGATTCCAGCTCCTGGGCCAGGCAGGTCACCCGAAGGGCGCCGGCCCTGGGGGTTGGCAGGCAGTGGCTTCCTCGGCGGTGGGGGCTTGGCAGGCCCCTGAGACTGAGAAAGAAAGCGGGAGGCTGGCTTGGGAGGGGGTGTCGTGTTGCCCACCCCTGTTGCTGGGGAGCACCAGCTTGTGGGGCCGGCTCCAGAGGTCACCTTGGTTCCAAACCAACCTGTCGCCGTAAAAGGACACCAGGGTATGTGTCCTCATGCACAGAGGGGGCATCTCACCATGGCCACGACTGCCAGGGTTATTAACACCACAGTCCTGAGTGGGGGAGAGGCGGCACCCTCCTCTCCCCACGTTACCTTCGGCTGCCTCAGCACCGGGTCGGCGGGCAGAGGGCGGGTGGGGGGATTGGGCCGGTCAGCCAGCTCAGCCTGAACAGAGAGAGGGGCAGCGCCGTGAGCACAGCCAGGGGCCAGCGGGCATGCAGTGCTTCTCTCCAGGGGTTCAGTTCAACATGCAAAGTCAGCCAGGAAGCAGGTGAGAACGGGGCCATGCGTACAGGGCTTGGGCGCCTGCCCGCAGAAGCCTCAGGGGAGGAAGGTATGGGTCACAGTGGTGTCCCAGGCCAGCTGCAGTCCTGCCACTGACCACCAGGTGGTGGTAGAAGCCAAGGCAGGAGGCTCACCCTTTGCGGCTGCTGGGGCTCAGAGTGTCTGAAGGCTGAGGGGCACCCTGGTCCCCTAATGAAGAGCGCCACTGGCAGGGAACAGGGGTGAGAACTGCAGTGGGGCACCAAGCCTCCCACCTGCCCTGGGCCAGGGCGGGGCCTGGCCCGGATTTACCTGGAGTCTCTTGGGCACAGGGTCGGGAGGCAGCGGCCGGGAGGGGGGTGCCGGGAAGCCAAGAATACTGGCCTGCTGAGAGAGCAGGGGGAGCAGACAGCGGGATCGGGGTGGGTGGGGCCGGGGAGAGGGAGCACGGACACAGATGTGGGCAGAGAGGGGTTAGTGCCTGGGGAGGGGCTGCCAGGGCCCCAGGGGCAGTGGGGGGCCGCGCATGCAGTTGCTTGGCTGCATGCAGAGGGGGCGACGAGTGGCAGAGTGAGCATGCGGACCACCTCCACACACACCCCTGTCATCAGCTCCAGGGGCTTGCGGGGCACTCGCCAGCCTTCCACACATGGTGACCCGGGTCTCATCAGGTCATGGCGCCTGAAGGCCATTTCTGAGCACCACCCCCCTTGTCCTCCAGGGGCCCCTGCTGGGAGCACCAGCAGACCCACCTCTCAGAACCACCAGCTTGGCCCTCCTCTAGGTGATGTCCCTCCCCAGTCCAGGCTGGACTCTGCTTCTGGGCCTGCAGCCAGGGGAGCGTAGGGGAGGGCTGGCCCCGACTCCTCTGACTGACTCGTGGGCAATGGGAGTCTTTCTCTGAGTCTAGGGCCTTCAGTGCCCCCACCCCAGGGCCCACGCTGGATGCCTGGGCAAGGTGGGGCCTCTCTCCTCTGGTATGCATGACTTACCTTGGCCCCTGGCATCCGCAGGACGCTCTGCGGGGGTCCTGGGCGTTCTGGGGGACCAGACTGGGCTGCCCTGGACGTGAAGAAAAGCAAGGAGGGAGAGGGCCCAGCGTCAGACCATGCTCTCCACCCACACGCGGCCCTTGAGTGGGGTTGACCCTTTGCAGCCCCTTGGAAAGCAGCTCGAGTGCGGTTGAGGCCCAGTGAGAAGTGGGGGGGTGCTGAGGGGCTCGAGGGGGGTCCCCACCTACTCAGCACAGGGCTCCCCAGCTGCCCTCCGTGGGTCTGGGTGTGAGGTGAGGAGTGACAGGGCACGTGGAGGGGAGCGAGGCATGCGTGGGCTGGCCCAAGGGGCTGGCGGTCAGAGCCCGGTGTCGGGCACTGCAGTGGGACTGGGGACAGGACTGCAGAGCCGTCTTCAGCAGAGCCGTTGAGCGAGCTGGGGGCAAGGAGGTTCGTACCTGTACTGGCAGCTGGGTCCCTTGAGCTGACAGAGCCGCTGACGCAGGCGGGCACGGTGCCAGTAGCTGGCCCCCAGCAGCAGCAGGACCACCAACAGCAGGAGGCTGAGGGGCAGCCCTGTGGTCAGGGGGCTGGTCGCTGTGGGGTGAGGGCAGCTTTGAAGGTGGGCAGGGCTAAGAATCCTACACCCAGGAAGGGGTGGAGGGCGGGGACGGAGGTAAAGTGATCGGAGAACGGGAAGGGGTCAGAGGAAGGGGGGGCGGTAAAGGGTGAGCCGCGATGCCCTCCCAGCTGCCCCTGCCCGCTGCCCCCAGCTACCTCTGACGCGGTTGGTGCAGTCAGGGGCGGCCCAGCCCGCCTCACAGTGGCAATGTCCTTTGCTGTCGCAGACCTAGGGGATAGAGGTTGAGCGATGAGGGGCCCTACACTCTGGGGCCGCATTTCCCTGCCCCCAGCGTTTCAGGATCTCCTCTGTCCACAGTTGGAAGGTATGCTGGGGATGATGGGGTGGAGAGACGGAGCCTGTGTCCACGGCCGAGGAAATGAAACCGAACGAGCCCGTGAGCACCTTCTCCACGCTGGCACTGTGCTAGACCCTCTCGTCCTCATCTCCCGGACCCCAGGACGCCCACTGGGTGGCTGAGGAAACTGAGCTCAGAGTGGTTAATAATCTGCCCCCGGCTACACAGCTAGGAAGGAGTAGAGCGAGGATTAGAACCTAGGTGTGCGTGTTCCCCACGCCCTCCTGTCTGCCCCCCGGAGGCTCCCTGTCCCCTTCCGTGTCCGCCACGCCCACTCACCCCGTGTCCGTGGCATTTGCTTCGACATTCCTGGGCTCGCAGGACGTCCACAGGCTGGCATCGGCGGTCAATGCACACCTGCCAGGGGTGGGGGGTGGGGAGAGAACCAAGGTCACAGCCTCACCAAGCGTCACGGGCACTGGCAGGCCACAGCCCTGCTCTTACAGAGGGGGAAACCGAGGCTGCCAGGATGACAGGACGCTGCTCAGTGGGCAGTGTGACTCTGACCCCCACCCCCGCCCCCGCCCCGGAGAGTCTGCCTTTTACACTGGTGGACCCTGAGGCCTGGGCACTGCTCATGCACACGGCCCTCCCTCTGGCCTTGCCTGCTGGGACCGCTCACCAGGTCAGGCCCACAGGCCGTGCCAGGCAGAGTCAGCAGGGGCTGGGCCACGTCGTCGCCCAGGTCCAGGTGGACCCAACTGCAATTCAGCTTCAGCTGGGTCCCGTTGGCTTCGAGCATCT